GCGACCGAGGGAAATGCAGGATGGAAACATTGGGAGGAACCGGTAAAACAGATTCAACAACCTTGATGGTTCACATAAGTATGCCGCGGTTATGTCACCATGTCCTGATAATCCTCAATTACGCATGACTGGTTGGAAACTGAACCCGTCCTGTTGGTAATCACCAGTGTAGGGTGAAAGTACTTCTGGTAAGTGATTTGATCATCACGACCAGTTTGAATGAATCTATCAGGAAACTTGGATAAAAACAAGAGGCAATGAAAGAAAACTGCGTTGTGAAACTGTCGGTTGAAGAACCGCTACAGTGGCATGTTAATAAATGCTACGATAATTGGAAAATAATCAAAAATGTTACCACAAGCTCTACAAAGGGGTTACACAATGGACAAGGTGTACGAGACACGACGCTCAAGATGAACAAAATCGTTTATTCTACCAAGAGTAATAGTTTTCAAGCCCTACCCGAGCATTACTGTGCGTGCCTCATTTTTCACATTTGGTGTGATATCCTTATATAGTGCCCTCCCTGAAGAGATAGTCAGCGCCCCAAGTAAGGAGGTCTTCAGACTTCGTCTTGACCGTCACTCAGGTTTGTCTACTGACCCCCAATATAAGAAAGCTTTTGTTGAAAAAAACAACGAATTACACGGGAGTTCGTAATTTTTCATTCTACTTCTCACCTAGAGCGGAAAAACCCTACTGATGCCTTTCAATTACTCTCTAATAGATAATTACAACGAAAAGAATGCAGATACCCTTCGAGGATCCGGGATATTTGGCCAACAGCCTCGAACCCATGAATCACTTCAAGACTCGAAGACCCGACCTGACAGTTTTCACCTCTGTGACTTTCTAATCATTCCTTATATGAAATATTATGATAAAACAAGCAGAAGTATCTTCAGACTGATGCATCGATCGATAATTTTTTTACCTTAAAATACCCAATTCCGGAAAAGTTAGTTATGCTATGCGCGAATGCGTGAAGCATCCGGAATAGGTGGGCAGAGCTAGGGGTCAGATCTGAGGAACTCAAAGTTGCAGTGATTGCTGTCTCCGAAACATGGTTAAGTGAAAGCGACCATATACCACAAACCATCACAATCAGCTTTGAGATCCACAGATAGGGTTAACGGGAGCATTTGCAAGGTGAAGCAGTAGCGCTTCTCATTCGCAAAGAAACTCCCCACAGGAAATTGGGCATAGAAGTCTGCACCCCCAATATACAGCTGTGTGCTATCTCACCCCTCTCTAGGGCAAACAGTGCCACCAAGCCAGTGTGTACAGGAGTCAGTGAGCCACCATAGACGAAGATGAGCAATTAATCAGGGCGCTGGATGCACTAGCACAGTCCCAACAGAAACTGGTAATTCCTGGGGGCTTCAACGTACCCAGCATCCAGTGGACCACAGAGACTTGCTCGGAGGGTACACCAGAGGAAATGTTTCTGGGATGGATACACTCCAGAGCCCTCCTGCAACACGTGAGGGAAAATACAGAATACAGGACGGGGAAAAATCCATCACTCCTAGATTTGATGTTTACTAAATACCGAAGGGACGTAGAAGATCTCTCGTTTCATCGACCTATGGGAACGAGTGATCATCTAGTGATAAAAATACCCCTCAATTGTAGGAAGACCAAAGCGCCCAGCCGGAAAATTAGAAACTTCAGCAAAATGGACACGAGTGGCCTTCAGGCAACAGCCTGAACTCTAAAATGTGAAACAGAAAATGAGCAGATCACAGTAGAGGCTCCCTGGAATAGAATCAAAAGTAACCTACAAGAACTCCAAGACGAGTTCGCATCCCTTAAATTTAGGAAAGGTTGTAATAAGCCTTCATGGTGGTCTCCGGAAATAAGGAGAGCACTAAGGAAAAGAAACATGAGCTGGAGACACTACAGAGAGATTAACACCCAGCTGGCATGGAAAAATTACATGGTCCAGAGGAAAGGGATAGCCGGTCTTATAAGAGTAGAAAAGAGAAAATATGAATTAAAGTTAGCGGAAAACGTCAAGCAGAAACCGAAAAGGTTTTCCAGGTAGATCCAATCGAAACGCAACTTGAGGGACGCCATAGGCACCTTGGTTCTGGAAACCACACGGTGGCAGCAGACGACCACAGCAAGGCAGTAGCACTAAGCAACTATTTCGCTAGTGTTCATGGGTTAGACAACCGGACATTAGAACCTAGATCAAGATCTCTCATCCACCGAGCATAAGAGAGATTTAGATATCTACAGTGGAGGTACAAAAGGTGTTAAGGGAAGTTGGATATCAATAAGGCCCCGGGTCCCGATGGTTTATATCCTGCCATTGTGAAACCTCTTGCCCAAATCTTGGCAAACCCCTTAAAGGTGCTGTTACAAAAGTCTCTGGAGGAGGGCGTGCTTCCGGGTGACTGGAAAACTGCCGTTGTGGTGGCTTTACACAAAGGTGGCAGTAGATCTAACCCACAGCACTACAGTCCCGTTAGCCTAACCAGTGTTCTATGCAAGTGCATGGAAAAGCTAATCAGGACCCATGTCTGTGCTCACATTTTAGAGTATGCATTACTTAGCGTGGCCCAGTATGGTTTCATGAAAAGCAGGTCGTGCTTGACTAACCTATTATGCTTCCTAGACGAAGTCACTAAGAGGGTTGACCAAGGCAGAGCAGTAGAGGTATGTTACCTAGATTTCAGTAAGGCATTCGATTCCGTAAGTCATAAACTGCTTAGGCATAAGCTAAGTTTTTTCGGAATCACAGGAACAATATTTAAATGGATGGAAGCATTCTTGATCAATAGGGTATTCTGGGTTAGGATAGGAGAATAAACGTCCAAAGTCCTTCACGTCACTAGTGGCTCGCCACAAGGGTCGGTGTTAGACCCGCTTCTATTTCTGTTGTCCATTAATGATCTAGCAGAAATTACCAACCCATTTTGCTTCATCTTCGCTGATGATGTAAAGGTGGTTGGATCTAGTGGAAGATCAGACTTAGAAGAGGATATTGTAAAGGTGGTCAAGTGGTCCCACACATGCGATCTGCCACTAAATGCAACAAAGAGTCAGTTGCTCTCTATAACTAAGGAACCATTGAAGGCTCTTGGGGACTGGAGGCAATTCGAAGTAGGCACTGTAACCAGTGCTAGAGATCTAGGAGTCATCGTAACTGCAGAATACAGTTTGAGTACCCAATGTGAAGCAGCAGCACACATGGCTAGACGACAGCTGTTTCGACTAAGGTCAGGAGTTTCGTGTAGGAAAGCAGATGTATTTATACCCGTCTACAAAGCCATCGTAAGGCCCCACCTAGAATATTGTGTTCAGGCCTGGTCGCCCTTCTACAAAAAGGACGCAATCTGTCTCGAGAAAATTCAGCGACTAGCAACACGGATGGTTGAGGGTATGCGGTGAAAAAACATACGAAGGGAGGTTGTACGCGCTCGGTGTTTTTTCACTAGAAAAGGGGAGAATGCGCGGAGACCTCATTGAAGTATTTAAGATTAAGAAGAATTTACTGGGTTTAGATCCGGGGTCCCTCTTCACTGGGGCTCCCCATCAAGGAACACGTGGTCATGAGTATGGAACAGCGTCCTAGGCTGAACCTACGAGCACATTTCGTTAGTAATAGGGCAGTGGATAATCCCCGTGAATCCCCGTGAAAAAACTGGAATAAACTACCATTTGAACTGATTAAGCAGCAAAACGTCCAAGCATTTAAAAGAGCACTGGACGCCAGATGGTTGGAGGTTTTCCCTGACATAGGATGTTAGGTGCATAAATTGATTTAGGGTAATATGGGACAGTAAAAGTCTCTCTCTGACACGGCGAGAAGTAAAGTCTCTCCTTCTGTCTGTTTGCAGATAGAAAGTGAAACCGATCAATCGCAGAGGTGGACGCACACTCGTAAGCACACTACCGAAAGAATTCTGGACGCTTGATTGGCCTGTTGCCAGTCCTGTGCAACCTAACCTGACTTGACGGTACCTGAGAGCGGGTGTTGTTTTACTCACTGGTACACGTTTGGCGCGCTGTGCGTGATACCGCTTGTTAACTCACCATGGTTCACGGGAATGACGTTCTTCATAAGAACCATTTCAGAAAGAAATGGCAGGAGATGGTAAAAACGTGGTTCAATCAGCCAGCTCGCAAAGAACGCAGGAGAAACGCGCGTAAGCTAAAGGCTCAACGGATAGCACCTCGACCTGCTTGTGGTCCGTTAAGACCGATCGTCAACTGTCCGACTTTGAGGTATAACATGAAAGTTCGGATGGGTCGAGGATTCACACTTCAAGAAGTTCGAGCCGCCGGATTCACTCCGAAGTTCGCCCGCACAATAGGCATCTCTGTGGATCATCGTCGGCGCAATCTCTCAGTTGAAGGGCTGCAACGTAATGTAGCTCGTCTGCGAGCCTATAAATCCCGCCTCATTTTGTTCCCGAGAAACCCGGCTAAGCTGCAACCTTTGGATGCCAAGGTGAGTACTCCAATGTGGGCTATTCACTTCTGATAGTCTCCGGCACTTGTTTTTGCAATGCATTTTATTGTTTTTACGTAATTCACTGATTGTTGATTGTATTCTACCACCTTTTGGACTTTCACTACTCGTGTGATTCTTGCTTCATTATGGCTACGTTCTAAACAGTTCTCATGGATGTCACTGACCGTTAAAATTTCAAGTTTGCATATAAGTCAGTAGCAGTGATAAAGGGTCAAAGTTTTTCGTGTTGATTAACGCCTTCTGGGCTCATAGTGCGGTTCTCCCCAGTTTGCGCAATCAGCAGTGTTTCTTAATATGTCAACGAAGTGTTTTCTCAAATCAGAACTGCAATTCTTACTTCTCATCAGTACAGCCTGTTCTGTCTCATCTGAATTTCGCTCTTGTTGCGCTCCATCGCTGACTAACTTTTGATCGTGCATTTGTATTATTCAGTCTTAGTTACTGTGTTGTTCATTTTACTGTCTCGGATAAATGACCAACATGCGGATTTTAAAATCGTCAGTGTAGTTTAGTGCGTACGAATGTATACACTGATAGGTAAACATGTATGACTGGTGCAGCGAGTCGCCCAGTCACGCCGATTGGTTATTCCCCCCGGAGCGCATGTTCGCCCATGGTTTCGCTGATTCAGCTTGAGTAATGGGCGTCATTGTTGGAGTGTACAATAATTCTTTCGTCGGACTGGTTCCCCCACTGCTGTGGACCTGTGTGAAAGGCGTCGCTGACGGCAGTTACGGATTGCGATCGGAGAACCAACATACGTAGGTTGAAAATCGTTCCCACAATGAAGAGTGGACACCGGGACTTTGCAGTCGATTCTGCTGCCTCACGTGCGAAGTGTTTTTTCAGCGCTGTTCCTTCGGTTGACAATTGGTAGCCGTTGGTACTTCGGTAGTAGCTGCCACCTACGTTAGAGCTTGTAGCAAGAATCAGTGTGACGTTCGCCATCCTAAAACATCGTCACCGAGGTGTTTAATTCTCTACTTTGTAATGCGTTATAATGCGGCTACGAGTCCCGACAAATTCCATAGAACATTTGATGGTTTCCAGTGAATCAATTTTGTATCCGGTAATAGCGTCATAGCGGCCACCAGGTCTGTATAAGTATTTCACACGTCTGAATCCAGACTGCCGAGCAAATCATGTTACAATCTTCATGCATAAGAAAAGCGTTCGATGAGTTGCGGTGGGCCAGGTTGCCCAGGCCAAGGCAAGGTCTGTGTGCATGATACACAAAGGTCTTGCTGGAATTATCACAATACACCAGTATGCATGTTTGCCCCTGACCTTTCCTACCCTTTCATGCACAGATCAGAGAGGCATCGCAGTAGTCAGCCCATGGCTTGAAGGTGGGGCTCACCATAGGATTGGCCTCAGTCGGCTGTTTCTCATGGAGTCTAATGGTTGATGGGTGTATTTGGTTAGGTCTTGAGAATGTGAGTCGGGATCTAAATCAGTAGCCTGAATTATTGCTCGCATACTGTGAATTTGTAAGGCAATTTCTATATTCTTATTCATTGCCATTTCTTGCTTCCGTATTTCGCTTCTGTTTCGACTCTGATGTCTTCTTGTTAATCGTTCCTAC